CTTGGAATACTGCATCCAGTTTTGGTCACCACGATGTAAAAAAGATGTTGAGACTCTAGAACAGTGGTTCTCAACCTTTTTAATGCCGCGACCCCAAACGGTCGTAAGTCGAGGACTAAACCGGTCGTAAGTCGAGGACTAAACCGGTCGTTAAGTCGAGGACTAAACCGGTCATAAGTTGAGGACTACCCAACCGGTCGTAAGTCGAGGACTTTCCCTGTCCGGGAGCGCCGCGCATGCATGGTTCTGCCCCCTGCGCCGGCCGAGGCGTAGCTGGCAAGCGGCAGAGACGGAGCAGGCTGACCACCAGCTGGCCCAGCCCAAGGGAGGTAAGGCACCCACTGGAAAAGGGGAAAAAAATGGACAAAAAAAATGGCAGACAGCCTTGCTTGGCGACCCCCATGTAATGGTCGATCGACCCCAAATGGGGTCCCGACCCACAGGTTGAGAACCACTGCTCTAGAAAGAGTACAGAGAAGAGCAACAAAGATGATTAGGGGACTGGAGGCTAAAACATATAAGGAACGGTTGCTGGAATTGGGTATGTCTAGTTTAATGAAGAGAAGGACCAGCGGGGACATGATAGCAGTCTTCCAATATCTCAGGGGCTGCCCCAAAGAAGAGGGAGTCAAGCTATTCTCCAAAGCGCCTGAAGGCAGGACAAGAAGCAACGGATGGAAACTGATCAAGGAGAGAAGCAATCTAGAACTAAGGAGAAATTTCCTGACAGAACAATTAACCAGTGGAACAACCTGCCTCCAGAAGCAGTGAATGCTCCAACACTGGAAGTTTTTAAGAAGAGACTGGACAGCCATTTGTCTGAAATGCCTGAGCAGGGGGTTGGACTAGATGACCTGCAAGGTCCCTTCCAAGTTTATTATTATTATTATTATTATTATAGCCCAAATTTGGCACCGAGCGACTACAACTAAGGAATTTCAAACCTTGTAAGACGTTATGACAAGTGCCTCAGTTTGAATGGCGATTATGTTGAAAAGTAATGCAACGTTGAAGTCTTCTAATGTGTATAATAAAAGTTCTGTATCTGCGAGTGTCTGTTATTGATAACCAAACGGAGGTTTATTTCCGAATTGCCCTCGTATTTAGTCAGAATATCCGCATTTGTAAGGGGCAAAATAAATCAGTAAAAATGATGGAGGAACAGTTAAGGCTGACCATATGGCACCTGTTTTTCTCCTTTTGTAAGATGCCCTTTAAATGGACTAAGAAATGAACAGGGGGGGGGGGAAAGCCCAGGATATTAAAACCATGATTTCTTGGAACAGGAGATTGGCTACAGATTTCCATCCTTGGGGGCACAGTGCAATGAATCAGTGTGTAAGTTATTCTGTACAGGTAGTCCTCAACTTACAACCACACTTGGGAGCGGAACTTCCATTGCTAAGCAAGGCGGCTGTTCGGCGAGTTACGCCTAATTTTGCAATCTTTTTGCTATGGTTGTTAAGCGAATCACTACAGTTGTTAAGTGAATCACACAGTCGTTAAGCGAATCTGGGGTTCCCCATTGACTTTGCTTGTCCGAAGCCAATTGGGAAGGTTGCAAATAGCGATTACATGACTCCAGGATGTTGCAACCATCCTAAATACAGGCTGGTCGCCAAGCGCCTGAATTTTGATTACATGACTGTGGGGATGCAGTGACGCTTGTAAGTGCAAGGACCACTCATAAAAGTCACTTTTTTTTAAGGCCTTTGTAACTTCGAAAGGTGGCTAAGCCAATGTAAGTTGAGGACTACCTATATCTCAGCTAATTGAACCACGATTTAATTGGCAAATTGGGCGCGGTCTATAACTGAAACAAACTCAGCCTACTGCTTTGGGACCATCTGCAGGCCTGTTTAACGCCTTTGATGAAAACCGCGACAATCACATAGACTTCAAGGAAATCTCATGTGGACTCTCGGCTTGCTGCAGGGGACCGCTGGCAGAACGGCAGAAGTGTGAGTACGGCTAGGAGATTTCCCCGGCTCCCTTTTCAGGGGTTGCTCCCAGGTTCAGCTTAGGATCACTCACTCACACACTCTCAGCCCTGGAAAACAGCCACACAAATCACTTCCACTCATACGCAGAGGCATGAGCCCTTCTTTAGACTACATCAGGGGTAGGCAACCTTGGCTCTTTTATGACTGGTGGACTTCAACTCCCAGAATTCCTGAGCCAGCATGGCTCAGCATGGAAACCTCTCCCTTTCTCCTCAGCATGGCTGGCTCAGGAATTCTGGGAGTTGAAGTCCACCAGTCATAAAAGAGCCAAGGTTGCCTACCCCCGGACTACATGGAGACCCAGTGAATTTAAAGCAACAGCAAAACTTTAGTGGTTACTGAGGGGCCCTTGGTGCTCTCTGAGCTTTGATGGTTTTCTTGCAGACGTTTCACTACCCAAACTAGGTAACATCATCAGTGCTAGAAGAGAGTGGGGCTTGCTCTTTACTTATTAATGGTTTACTGGTTACTACAGGGGTCCCCAAACCCTGGGCTGTGGCCCACTACCGGGCCGTGGCCTATTCAGAATTGGGCCATGTGAGTGGCTGGCTGGGGGCACTCGCGTGGACTTGCGCAACTCAACATGTGTGAGCTGTGAGCTGGCAGGCACTCGCGTGCATGTGCGGTGGGCCAGCACTCGCGTGTCCTCACGGGCCTGCCATTCGCACAAGCCGAGCTGTGTACGTGCGCACCAGCCCACCACTCGCACATGGACTGCATGCGCCCTGGCCTGCTGCTTGTGTGGCCAGTTCCCCTCTCCCCGTCCAGCCAGGCCGCCGAGCAGCCACACACTTCTAGACTCATAGGATGGGAAGGGATCTTGGAGGTCTTCTAGTCCAGAGTTCTCCAACTTTTCCTGCTTTGCGGACCAGTGAGGAGAGGGGATGTTTCTGCGGGAGCAGCGGGCGCCCATCGCTTGCGCAAGTGGTGATGCACTCACGCACGCTCACCCACCATTTCCGCGGCCTGGTTCCAAACGGCTCAAGGCCCCCTAGGCCCGGGAGTTGGCGACCCCTGTTCTAGTCCAACAATCCCAGCTAAATGGTTGTCCAATCTGTTTTTGAAAACCTGCAGTGATGGAGCGCCCAGGAGGCAAAGCTATTCCATTGATTAATTGCTGTCACTGACAAAAAAAAATTCTCCTTATTTCTAAGCGACAAATTCTCCCAATCCCTGTGCTGGGATTACAGCAGGGCCTTTGAGAGGCATGCTGGAGTTTGTGTCTTTTGGGAAACCCGCTCTCAAAAATAACAGGAGTGGAATTTATTAATGGGCTCTAAGCTTGTCTTGCTCCTTCTGTGATTTTATTGCTTTTATGATCTGGAAATGTCAACGTGTCCGTGTGGCGCGCACACACAAACACAGACACAAACATGTGGTGTACATTTTTTCCCAAGAGGTTGACATTTGCTGCTGTTTCCTCCTGTGTACATAGAACAGCCGCTTTACGATGAGAGGACTTCAACTCCCAGAATTCCCCAATCAGCATGCATTACAGCCTCCCTGCTGGATGGGGAATTCTGGGGAGTTGTTAGTCCACTCATCTCAACATTGTTTAGGTTGAGAAACACAGTGATGTAGAGGTGGATCAGTCCTGGCTCTGTAGGGATAAATGTGTAAAAACAGAGCTAAGTTTATTGCCTACAGATTTTTTTTCCCTCCTTTTTTGGGGAAAAAAAGAAGCTTTCTACATCCATCTACCTAACCTACATTTTAAGTCTTGGGTGTTTTTTTCCTTTATTATTCTTTCCTATATGGGTGCATGCACACATTAAGGGAATATAATCTCTTGTGATGGTTTTGAAAATGAGGGCTTTTAAAAGCTAATTCCCAATCATCTCCCAGCTCTATTAATTCAATATAATATTGTGAGTTACTCTCATTTTATGTCAATTACAATCAATTTTCTGGAAGAGGTTGTCTGGGTTGTCGATAACTCCCCGTTTTTGGGAGCTGGATTTTAATTTCTCTTTAATAAAATATTCATAAGCACAAACAGTTAGCTCGGTTTACGGCATTGACATTTGTGTCTGTGTGGATGGAGTATGTGGAGAGCCATTGTGCTGTAAATGCCAATGTTTGCTCTTTGGAAAAAGAAGAGTAAACAGATTATATCATTTATTACATCACTGGTGCCCGTGTACTCCTGTCCCTTCACTCTCTGAAATAGATTTCCTCCCTCTCACAGAGGCCACTTTTAACTATGCCCTGTTTGCAGTGTCTTCTACTAATTTTCCAGAATCTGCACTAAACTCACGATAACATTCATAATACGGCCTTCTTCTATTTTCTCCATAATAACAACCCAGCTTCATTTCTAGGTGGCTGGGCAGAGAGAGAGGCAGTGGCCCAAACTCATCCAGCAGCTTTCAAATCTAAGGCAGGACTAGAACTCACCATCTCCTGAAGATTGGCCCCAAATCACCCAGTGACTTTCATCACTAAGACGGGACTAGAACTCACTGTCTCCTGGTGATTGGCCCCAAATCACCCAATGACTTTCATGCCTAAGGCGGGACTAGAACTCACCGTCTCCTGGTGATTGGCCCCAAATCACCCAATGACTTTCATGCCTAAGGCGGGACTAGAACTCACCGTCTCCTGGTGATTGGCCCAGTGTCAACCCAGATGGTTCTCACACCTAAAGCGAAACTAGAACTCTCTGTCTCCCAGTTTTCTAATTCAGCACCTTAAACTCTACACCAGCCTAAACCTTCTCGTTTCTCAAGTTCTCCTCTTTGAACACTCATCATTTGTGTCTTGTGAACTGTAAGTTTCCCAGGCTACTTTCCCATTCTCTCTGAGAAAGTGGACAATTACTAGCTGAGGTTTAAAAGCCAAAAATGATTTTGTTTTCAGGCTTTTTTTAAAAAAAAAAATATATCTGCTTTTTAAAATGCAATTTTTCTTCATAGCAGTTCATCACCCTGTTAAAAAAGTTAACATAATTTTTTGAAAAAATTTTTAAAGTTAAAAGCAGCAGCCTAGAAATGGAAACGATAGATAGAAATAGCAGTTAAATCCCAAGATGACAATTATTAGGGTTCATTGCACAGTCAGCCACATGAACAAAAATAAAAAAATAAAAAATAAAGAAATAAATAAAAGAAGCAGTTTAAAGCAGTTATAAACAAACCATTTATCCCTCCTCCCTCCTTAACATTACAATTATCCCTTCAGCCCCTTATTCAATCTTTTTTTTCCCCCAATGGTCAAATCCTGAAATCATCATTTCACTTTTTCCATATTCAGCAAAAAAAAGTCCATCAAGGGTTTCCAGCCTTTTGTAAAAAAATGTTTTTTATTGTTTTGCCTTCTTTGCTAGTTCTGCCATCTTCACAATCCATTCCTTTGTTATGGGTAATTTCAGTAAGTGTCCATCTCGGTGCGTACAAGTATCTCGCTGCAGTTACCGTAAATAAAAATCAGTCATTTACGTCTTTTCAAATCAACTATCCGTTAAGTTCCAAACAAAAGCAGTTCTCGTTTCATCTCAGCCTTCAAAGTCTTTGGAGTCATTGTAAGCTGTTTTTAGTTCTGTTAGAATAACCACTTCTTTTTTCTTTCAGTTTGCTTCAAGGTTTTTGACGTTGATCGAGACGGGGTTTTGTCTAAGGTTGAACTCGAAGAAATGGTCGTGGCCCTTTTGGAAGTCTGGAAAGATAACCGTATTGATAACATTCCAGTAAGTTACATTCAACATTAACAGCCTCTTCCTCCCCTGCCTTAGTCTTTGAGTTTGCATGTGCATA